CGCTTTCAATTTTTCGATTCTTTCAAAACAAAATTACGCACGCGATGGAAGGGAAAAAAGCAAGCCATTAATCCTCAAAATTAACAGTTAATTAAAAATGCCTAATCTGTCCTGCCGACATCCAAAAGGACGTAAACATACAGAACAAAGCGGAGGTAACAACCCGTGTGTTTATTTAAAGGTTTAAGTTGTGAAATAAACTCAAAACCTGCTGGATAATTGTTAGAATTTGGTGTGCTTTGATGGGCTCCAAATGAGTGACATATAAATCAATTTATGGGTAAATAGATTAAGCTGTGTTTAAAAAAGAAAAATGGCTTAAATGTTGTTGGATTGAAAAATGAACAAGCTTACAAAAATTGTGTGTAACCTCTAAATCTGACGCACTTTAAAGAAAATTTACAGCCTTTCCGACCCTTGTTTGTCTGGCTTACTAAATAAATTCAGCATCGCTGTTCTGCACTGCATTGCAAATTCTTTCGTACAGTTTCTTCCCCCGGAAAAGTGTATTCGCCCTGCATCCAGATAAACAAACGCCCGGTGATTAGTTTTACCTGTACCACTCCAGCCCGTTGTCATAGTTGCGGTCGAAGAAGTGAGGCTCCGCTCCCACGGCTCTGATGTCAGGATGGACCCGGAGAAACTCCAGCAGAGCCCGGGTCCCTCCTTTCTTCACCCCGATGATGATCGCCTGCGGCAGCTTCTTGCTCCCGGAGCCGTTGGAGAAGCTGGACATGGCGCTGGGCTCCGGGGCTCTTTGGTGCTCCCCGTGCATCTCGTCCCAGTCTTCGGCTCTGTCAGAGTCCAGCTCGTTATTGAGCAGGTCTCTGGACGCAGCGGTCCTGATGGACGGCTCCTCATAGTCACTCTCTATATCCTCCCAGGGCTGCGGTTTGGCCAGCAGTCTGGACACCAGGTCCGTCCTGCTGCTCTCTGTCCTCTTGCCCACCGCAGAACCAGTCTCCTTGCCCCGGTAACTCTCCACGACCAAACTTGGCATGGTGGAACAGTAGCCCACGCATGAGTACAGCATGTATACCCAGATTAAAAACATGATGCTGAGCAGTATTAGTTTCTTCTTCACGGGGCTGGACCAGAAGGCATACAGGTTGTGGAAAATCAGGCTATATTCCATAAGCCTTTCGGTTGAAAACCATATCCCAGCGGCGCATATTGCCTAACTCACTCCCGGTGGCACCTTTGCAATCCTTGCAAAATTAAGCACATGCTCATGAAAAAAAACTAAAAATAAATAAACCCTACAAATAAAACAAACAAATAAACTAGCCTAAATAAAAGCGGAGGGATCGGTGCATCCAGGAATGAGAAGGCATGGAGGAAACGATAATCACAAGGGTGCTTAAATTTGGGGAAAGTGTTGAGTTGCGACAGGCGCAGCACAGCCCCGCGCGAGCCTCATCTCAGGTTTGCTCGAGCTCCTGGGTGAGCGCGAGACCTTATACAGAGACGCGCGCGAGAATGACGGCGGCAACGGCCAATAGCCGCGAGGGAGATAAATATGCAAGGCTTATGTTGATACAAGCGGGCCAATCAGGTAGGAGCATGGGCGAGTCCGGCCGTGGGATCCTGGGTATGGAAATGAGGCGTGTGTGCGGGACTCTGCTGAGAGTTTGGAAAACTTTCACACCGGGCAAAGAGTTCAATTAGCTGAAGTTTTAAATGTTTCACTCATCGTTCACACAGTTTTTTTCCCCATCTATTTTCAAAATGGTTTTTTTTTTCCAACTACGAATTCCAAAGCTAATGTTGTCAGAAATATGAAAAAATGGTGGTGAAAAAATGTCTATAGGCTACATAAACAGTGCAAAACTAATCTCAGTTCACAAAACACATAATTTGAATGACACAGACTGTGAGTGAATGCGAAGAAATGAGGAGGGCACAGTGCTGGCGGTTAGAACTGGAAACAGGAAGCGTTACTTCATTATTTAGTTGATATTTTGTACATATTATCAAAAATTTCAATCCTCCCCCC